GATGTTGTTGTTGTCGTTGTCGTTGTGGTCTTGGTTGTGATTGTTGTGGTTGATGTTGGGTTGTTCTTCTCGTTGTGGTTTTGGTTGTTGTGGTTGTGGTTGTGGTTTTCGTTGTGGTTGTTGTTCTGGTTGTTGATGTGGTTGTTGTTGTGGTTGTAGTGATGAAGAACAGCTCTGAAGCCTCAGAAGGGGCCGCTGCGACTTCCTAAAGCCATATGATCAGGTCAGCAGTCCTGTGATTTCGAGGGCTACGCACGATCGGGTCAGATCAAAAGTTGGTGCGAAACACTCTCCAGGTCTAGCCGGACATGGGGCTTTCCCAAAATTCGGGGCACCATGTTGGTGGGGGGTCCTTATGTAAGGATTGTAGCGTTTTGGGTTTGTATTAGGGTCCCCCTGTTTAGGAAAACTCCCATATGCTGCCTCACTAGTGCATGATAGCTACAGTCTAGAGCAAGCGCTTGCGATGAAGCCTAGCAACATATAATTGTCACAGGTGGTTTGACCCCCTATGTAGTCCCCTAGAACGTGGCGGTTTCCATAGCTTTTGCATGCTTTCATATGGATTTCAGTTTGGTGGAGCCCCCTCCCACTAACAGTGCGAAAAGGCTTTGGCTACCAAATACACATACCAAGAGTGGCGCCAGGAAATGAAAGTTTTGACCCGTGCAATTAAAACACAATTGCAGAAAGCACAAAAAGTAGCACACATCTCAGTACCAGTCAGTCTTCGTCCTCCAATTGACGGCACAAAAAAGGTACAACTTGAAAACTATTCTGTGCAAAAAATGCATGAGGAAACAAAAAAATAGAAACTACAAGCGCGAATAGGGGCACCAAAAAAAGCAACAGGAGAGCACAAACAACAAACTTGACAAATCCACTGCTCAAAAAGCACCAGAAGAGCACCAAAAGAAAACACCAATTAGACAATACGAGCACAAATTGGAGCCACCAAAACAAACAAAACTACAAACACAGATTGAAACGTACACTGCGCAAAAAAGATTCCAGAAATGTAATTTAGTTTCTGGTTTGGAATCCTTTGGGTACATTGGCTTCTTTTTAAGGATGACAGGCCGCCCCCCAGCCTGACTCAGGACCCCTCCTGGAACTTGAAATTTTCGAGGTTTCAAGATCCCTTCAGCAAGTGGTGCACAGGAGAGGGTAGGTAGAAATTATCATCACGTGTAGAAGTGGACTGTAATTAGGTTTCTCATTCATGCTTTCCCCCTAATATTCAAGGGCTGCTACCCCCCCCTCCCCGCCTTCAGTATATACTCCGAACCGTCTTTAATGTTGGGGCTGGATTTATTGTACGACCTGAACATAAAAGGGGGGGTATATAATAGGTTCCTATTGAGATCCAAAAAAAATTGCAGAACATTCGATTAAATCGACGTAATAAAGCAAACGATTAGATCCAATCAAAGTCGTAATGGAATCGTTACAACAAAGTAAAAAGTATTGAAATCTAATGGAAATCTAAATGAATCAATATATAATCAAATAAAAACGTCATCAAATCCATTAAAACCTATTCAAAATCCAACTAACTACTAAAGCCGGAAAATCTAATTACAACCTATTTAAAAACGATTTAAAATCACATAAATCCAATTAAAACCGCATTCAGATTCTATATCATTTCCTATATAACAACCATTCAAAAGCCATCCACGGCTGGGAAATCAAGGAGATCCCTTATCCTGAAGAGTCGTGCTACGGGCTCCCCCAACTCAGAGGATCCGAGCCGTACTGAACTTTAGTCTTGGCCCTTTTACAAATGGGGGTTTCCCCAAATTAGGGGTACCTTTTTGGGGGTCCCTATAATAAGGACTGTAGTATATTGGGGTCCCCTTATTTTGGGAAACTACCAAATAGTCTTGGGGGCGGACTTGAGAATTTGGAATTCTGGGGAACCCGTATTTTATATTAGGGGGGGCGGGTGTAATATTAGCGGGAAGGGATTAGGTTTCGGTCATATATGGCGACATATTGCCCACAAGTGTAAACACACAGTAGTTCAGCTGGGGGGGTATGAAATTACATCAGGTCGCTAAAACAGAATTTTTGTTGCGTTCCTATTTGTGGGTGTATTAGTGCTCACTGTCAGTGGGCAGAAAGGCACCACCTAGAATTCTAGTATCTACGTCACATAATGTCAAAATTGCTATCACTACAATACGGTTTTACTGGACTTTATGCCTTCCTTGCTAAACCCTAAACCCCTTGACGCATCGCTCCTTGAGTCAGGCCGCTCACGCTGCAAGGCTCAAGACAACTGTCAGCTGAGCGCAAAGTCTGCGAGGGCAAGCCATCCTCTTATAGTAGAGCATACTAGGGTTTGCTATTAAGTAATGAAAATTGGACAAGAAATGGGAAATACTGTACTACAATCATATAATAATGGGGGGTTGATATAGGGATATCTCGGATATATAGGGAAATGGAAAAGAAAATGGAAGCTACATGATCTAGAGTTTAGGGTTCAATGTATGGGAGAGAGAGAGAGAGGGTTCAAGGTATAGGGGCATATGGGGAATATCGGAAGAGAAAGGGAAGCCACAATATCATACGCGGGTAGATTTTGAGATTATTTGGCGGTTAGATGGTAGTACGGTAGTACTGGGAATAGAAAATCGAAACTATCATTTCGGATCAACTGTGTGGGGTTACAGAGGGATAGTATTCTCGATGCAGAATCAAGCCCGAAAGGACATGGAACATGAAATGGAAACTGGGGTTATGAAGTGGTTTATAGGGATAAGCATGCAAGAGCAGGCGGGAATGGGAGGTATTCAAAGTAGGTGCACTGCAGATGCACAATTCAGTTGTGCAATCCAAAATTCGTGATCCCCAGCAGGCCGGGGAAATTAAGCATGCCGCACGACTCTTGACGGGTAGCAAGATGTCCTTGCAAGGGACACCGATTCACCGGAGCAATTGGAACACCTGAAGATGCTGCTGTACTAGTGCTGTATTTCAACTTCTCCGTGTAACAACGCTTCCTTTTCTTGGGTAGAGAAAACATGCATGGTGTTTCCAGATTGGCATTCGCAAGTTTCAGACCAAGCGAGAATGGCAACTGCGGCTTCTGCATGCTGGCTTGCTTCACCTTTGCATAGCTCTGCTCGCACATTAGTTGTAGCTGGCTGTTTACATTTAAATCCTGTACGACCTTGGTATCTTACAATACCATAATTCCCGAGGTAGAAGGTACTTAGGGTCATGCAGGATGCTTGTATCCACCGTAGTACTGATGACTTTGGCTTTTAGAAGGTGGTCGATGATACTCTTGGCCGCAAGCGGCAAAATTTCCAGGATATGAAGATCTGACTGCGAGGTTTGGAGAGTTGGAGTTTTGATAGTTCAGCTTGTTTAGGTTACCGCCGCAACTCGCTGATAACCGACTGTTTCCGGATGTTGCCATATTTTCCGGAAAAAGGTTTGCCCTGAACATGGGGTGTTCAGGAATTAGGAGTGAGCTTGCATTTCGGGAAGCTCCCACTTGTCTGGGTTTTCTGCGCGCTGCGAGCGGAATGTGGAGGTGCCAAATTCTCTCTGTTCATGCAACACAAGGCAGTTTCCAAAATGAGAAGGAGCCTGTTTCGGGGATTCTGGAGTCAGCGATCTCCATTGCCATAACATACCTCCTTGGGCCCTTGGTTGTTGGAAACTACCAAATGTACAGCGGCCGGCTGCCAGGTGTAGCCCAACAAAAAAGGATGCGTTGTGCTGCTTTGAATTCTGTTGGTGCTTTCCCTAAACCCTAAACCCTAACTGTTACCCAACATCTAGGTTTGTTGTTGAGGAATTGAGGAACTGAAGCTAAATTTTCACAAAAAGGAATGCTTTTTCAACAAGAGCTGCGCGCATGTTGTTTAGTTGAAGTTTGCCAAATTGAGAAACCCTAAACCTAAACCCCACGCCTGAAACCCTAAACCCTACACCCCAAGCCTAAATCCCTAAACCCCAAATCTTTCCGTTGCTTGCATTCTCTGGACTCGCTGCGAAGTCTTTTCAAGGGAGGGGAGGACCCGCTCAATTCAAGTTGTGGTGCTGAGGCGGGGCAGAAAAGGCAGTTCACTATCTATGGCGTATTCCCTTAGCTCAGCTACGCTGCTGCCATGTCACAAGACAACCTTAAGCACGGTTTGTTTCTGCGAGCTGAACTTTTCAAGTCGTCGTGCTTTCGCTGCAGGCCATGGCCGATAAGGCTAAAGCAGCAGAGGCCAAGGCCAAGGGCAATGTGGAGTTCCAGGCACCTGGCAGCTTACCGTTTGAGATGAGCAGTGTGGGGGTTTCCCAAAATTAGGGGGTACCTTTTGGGGGTCTCTTTCGTAAGGTATCTAGTATTTTGGGGTCTATATTGGGGTCCCCTTGTTTTGGGAAACTACCGTGTGATCCCTGTGCTCTACAGGCCAAAAATTTCAAGGAGGCCATTAAGCACTTTACGGAGGCGCCTCTGCAGGGAGCTGCAGGGTAGGAGCGTCAGCGGGGCCGATTTGACATGAGGTGTAGTCTAAACTCATTAAAGGGGTTATATAGGGGATGATATAGGGGACGACTATAGGGATTCTTAGGGCGGGGGCGGATACTAGGAGCTTAGACTATAGCTCACATGTCGGCAGGCCATCAAGCATGACCCCAGCGACCACGTCTTCTTCTCGAACAGGCCAGACAGCTTCTGCTCATCCCAGGGTGCAAAGCCCCTGGACCTGAATATCCTGACGCAAAGAGCGGCATCGTCATTGTAAAGACCTGCAAAAAAAGCGAACATGCTGAAGAATGCTTCGCGCACGAATCCATGACTCCACCAAGGTCTGCATGCTATGCATCCCTGGAGCAGTACGACAAGGCGTTAGAGGCCATCGCATCTCCCTGCTGTGCGCATGCGGGCACCGATGTTAGGTGCGGTAGGCATCATGCCATTCCTGCCTTTGGTGGGGAACATACTCGAGCTTTCGGCCTACAAGTTCTGCTGTGGATGAACCGACATACATCCTATACGCCCTGCAATATGCTCCCTATGCATTGCTCTACAACCATCCAAGCCCTAAACTTCCCAAAGCCCTGCTGGCTGGTGCTTAAGGGAGTGTGGGAGTGAATAAAGTGACTTTACAGGGGCATCATCTAGGGCTTGCACAGGGATTATTACAAGGACCCACTCCTGCACTCTCCCTTCAGCACCAGTAATTAAGCCTGACACTGGACCCTAACCCCTGTACCCTAATCCCCAAACCCGAAACCCCAAAGCTCTAAACCCTACACCTTAATCCCTAATCTCCAAACCCTCATCCTCAGACCCTAAACCCTGATTTCTTAACATTGTAGGGATCGTGCAGTTGGAAAAAAGCTCGCTTGAAGAAAAACAACTGCCAGGATGGATCTGAGTGCGTGCGGCTGAAGCCAGACTGGCCCAAGGGATATACGCGAAAGGCCAGGCCTATCGCTCCGACATGGACTTCTGGAATTTAGTAGGGAATAAGGCGATATATGGATATAATATGGGTTTAGGGCTTAGGGTTCAGGGTTTGGGCTCAGTAGGGAATTAGGGGATATAGGGTTTGGGGTTTAGGGTTCGTGGGGAATAGGAGAATATGTTATAGGGTTTGGGGTGTGTAGGGAATAAGGGGATGTATTGCCTTATGGTTTAAGGGCTCAGGGTTAGTAGGGAGTAAGGACATGTGTCGGGGTTACGTAAGAAAAAGTGGGAAAGAAAGTGGGGTTATCGTAGGGAATGAGGGTAGATGTTATATAGGGATTCTGTTCCTTACCTACCAGCAGTAAGTATAGAATGTTGCGAGGGACCCCCAAAATCCCTTTGCATCACTAGGGTCCCTAGAGAATTGCCGTTCGTCTGAAACACCGCATGAGCTCACGACCCACACCCTAAACCCTAAACCCTTGGTCGGGCCGCAGGGACTTGCAGAGTTCTTCCTGAAGAAGTACGATGATGCTGCGGAAACATACAAGGCTCGCGGCAGCCTTGGCTGTGAAACTTTGGAGGCAGAGTTAAGCAAACATGGGAAGTCAAACGTTGTGGTTCATGATCCTCCATGAGGACTGTAAGCCTAAGCCAGGTACTCCTGTTTAATTTCTGTACCCTTATATACATGAGCTGCCGTCACCATTATGGTGGCCAAAGCAGGAAAAAGGGCGGACGCTGGCTTGTTTCTGGCAGCGTAGTAAAATGGCATGTTCACCAGTTATATCAGAAACATTGACGGTGGCTCGCACATGGTTTTCCCCGAAAGTGTAGTAGCTCTGCATGTTGTTTTCCATTCCTTCATTCCCCAAGATCAAGTAAGCCACAAATAGGATTCCCATAACACCCCGACAGGACCCTCTGCAACTCTACACATCCCAAATCCTAAGCCCACCACAGATTGTCTGGACAATAAGTATAGTACAAATATATCCAGCCCTTCACTGGCCCTTAATATGATCCCTGCTACAGACTGTTACCTGGTGGTTGGCTTGACAGGCGGGACTGAAGCTGGCGCCAGAAGATCAGACGTTGAAAGAGGGGTTGAAGAAGGCGGGGACGTTTCGAAGGGTTTAGGCGGGCGTTTGGTGGTAGTTTCCATCTGATGTTGCATTATGAGGATGATTTCCATTAATGTCCCTATAGAATCCTTATATAATCCCGTTGAAGAAGGCGGGGACGTTGCTTGGAACCGCCAGGTTAACGCATTCAGACAGTTTGGGTGTAAGGGCTTTGCGGCTGTGAATCTGTAAGACATCCATGATATTCTAGATGCATACCCTAGGCCTGCTATGTAGTTCCTTTTTGGGTGGTACACTAGAATCCCCTGCCAAGGAAACATAACAAACCCAAAAGGTACTACATAGGAGCCCCTGGGTATGGTGTAGGGACTGCCAGACTGGCACTGAATGTGACTCAAACTCAGCTGTCATGGCATACAAAAGAGGTTAGCGGAGATGGCTCATGCGATAAATCATAATAAAGATAGTAGTGCCCATAGTAGTACTCATATTATTAATAGTCATACTATTAGTAATCATGCTATTAGTAATCATACTAGTAGTCATACTTATCTTAAGGCCATGGACGCCAAGTACGACGTTCCTGGCGCAGGCGGGTCAGTCATTGCAGGAGGCTGGTGTAGGAACTTTGCCGAACATGGCAAAGTCCCAAGAAAAATAGACAGATGAGCAAAAGTCTAAACACCTTAAAGGGGGTTACATAGGGAATGATATTGGGGAGTATTATAGGGGTTGTTAATGGGAATAGTTCGGAAGTAGATTTCCGTACGCGGCCGGACCCGACGCATCTTGGCCCAAGTCCTAGCTCGGTTTAGCTCCGTGCATTGGGCCCTTGCAGGCCACCTGCGCTCATGAGCCCTGAAGATATAGAGCTAGCTGCATGCCATCCTTGCATGGACTCACCCTTGCGCGTGTCGGCGTTGATTCTTGAATTGTTTTTTTTCTGCTCTGTCATGCTCAGGAGTTGCAGCAAGCGTGATGCTGACTTCTCTTCTGAGGCCAGCACGGAAGTTTTCCTTTCTAAGATCTCTGTTGCACCCAAAGGCCCCAGGGCCATACCGTGTGAACAGCAGATGGCAAGGCCTAGGCAAAACTGCTGAAACTGCTGTTTGCCGGAGGCTATCGTGCATTGCCTTAGCCGGAGCCCAGAACTGGCCTGGATGTCAGGCGGGCCCATGAAAATCGTAGTGGGTTGATGAGGCTGACTTCGCATCATAGACAGAGGGTTAAAAAAGTTTGTCTGGGACTTGGCGCGCTGGCAATCACGTGGGGATAGGTCTAAATTCCCTATAATACGGGGTCCTATATTTGGGTTCCCATTATAATACGGGTCCCTATATACATTTCCCCCATTTTGGGAACAGTAATTTAGGGAAATTACCACGTATACCGTATGGTCTGTAGAGGGCATTTGTGGCATCTTGTGGCTAGGGTTTAGGGTTTAGGGTTTAGGGTTTAAAATGGTGACTCAGCTCTTTTCAGTCATGGATAGGCTAAGCCAGTTGCGATTTAATAGTGATAAACACTGTATTCATCCTATTTCTAGTAATAATAGTGAGAGTTATCGAGTAGAAATCATGGCGGCATGAAATAGTAACAATATCAGTAATCAATATCAATAATCGCAGTAATAATCATAGTGGTAATAGCAATACTATATCAGTAATCATACTAGTAATCATGCTAATTAATAGTAGTCTTTGTGCCCTGGGTGTTCAGGAGCAGAACACCGTCATCCGAAATGCGGGGCAGGCTTTGTTCACCAATCTGCAGGTGGGCACTGTTGATGGCTGTGCATGTTATCAGAGAATGGGCTTCCCAAAATAAAACTGCGGATACCTTTCTGCGGGTCCCAGTAATAAGGTCTATACTGCGGTCCCCCCCCCCCAATGTTGGGAACTACCAGATGCTAGTTGTTAGCCACTTCCCATCATGCGAGGAGTGGCTCTCAAATTATGCCTTTCTTTTCGGAGTTCTTGCAAAATATCATTTCATTTGTTGTCCGAGAATAGACATACCCAAAATGCACGAGATGCCTGCAATGTGTCAGGGCTACGGAGCGACAATCGGCTGTTTCCTGGATGACTGCATGAGCTCTGACAAGTTGCTCGGCTGGATGGGTCTCCTGCAATGCTGAAATCTATACCGTTGTCGTCGCCGTCGAAGTCGGAGGCGTACTAGCCTCTGTGGAACAAGAAGTAGAAGTAGAGGTAGAAGTACAAGTAGAAGTAGTAGAGGCGGGAACTACGGTGGCAACAATAACAGCAGCAGCTGGAGGAGAAGTAAACCAACAAAGCAACACACCAGATGGACAGCCGCGGTCGCAATTGTAGCCGAGATAAAGCAGGTTGCAGGAGAGCCAACTCGAACTCCCACTATTGCCGCAAGGCCGTTGCTGTGATGGCAAAACTACACTTCACATCAAAATCTAGAGTCTAATTTGGGTCTGGAGTCGGAACGGCCGCTTACACAAATGGGTGCTGTTACAACATACCTCCAATACAGCCCCAATAATCGCCTCATTCTAGGAGCACTTTTAATTAGATTTTCCAGGAACCTCTGTTTGGAGAACCCACCAGATCAGTTACGAAAGAGGTTAGTCAAGGATGTTGGTGTCTTCAGCAGGTTCGTCGCGAGCGAGATCGAGTCCTGCGCAAAGGCCAAATGGTAGCTTCCCAAAATAAGGGACCCCCAATATAGCCCCAAAATACTATAGTCCTTAGTACTGGGACCCCTAAAATGGTACCCCTAATTTTGGGAAACCCCCAAATATACATAATGGCAGATCTCCTTCAGAATATCCCTACGAAGTTGGGGTACCCTGTCTAGACGGTTTTTGCCTTATGAGAACGAAGTTGCTGCCCTCCTTTGATGGTCAGATTGCATGTTCGAGAGGCTACCTAGGAGAAAACCTAAGTCGGATTGGCGATTTGTAAAGACCTGTCTTTTTGCATGGACGGCAGTGTTTGACCGCAACAACATGTTTTGTGTCTGTATGAGAGTACGTGGACTTGAGGCAAACATATTTTTCGCTGGAATCTGCGGCCTGGGATCGTTGCAACCCACTCCCAACGAGCTTAAAGGCTGTCATTTGTGCAGTCCTTTGGTGTTAAACCTGTTTTGCGCTAAATTCTTGGTTTGAAGTGCGCGAACTTCTTGGTTTGAAGAGTATATATATATATCTATATTAGGCAGGGGGCCGGAACCGAGCCTCCAACAACAGGGCCAGTTAGGGGATGGGGCGGCGACACGTTCTATTCGATGCAGGCATTTACCACTTTGGCCTGCCTCGTGATTAATGGCCGCAAATACACTGGGCCTTGCTAAAGGAATCTTACAGAGATCCCGAAAAAGGACCCCCTGCGATAACTGTTGGAAACCCACAGATGTCTGCTTAGAGCCGGGACAGGCCTAGAGTATTCAAAACATCTATGGACGCCATTCAGCGTGCTTCTTGAAAGACCGCCGAGGCAACGGAATGAGAAGGGAAACTGCAAAATACTGTAAGATTACTGTGTTGGAGGTTCTTTTCCTGAAGAGGTGCGTGAAAGAAAGGCACGAACAGTGGAGTGCATCGCCGGTCAAGGCCATAAATCTTCTCGAGGGTAAGGGCTAGGAAGTTTTCTTTTCCGTGCCCTAGATAGGTAATCCTTATCCCCCTATGTAATGTAGCAGTTTCCCCTTCCTTTTCCTTCCCCCTACATGCAGGTCTGCTTCTCGCTTCCAGAATGCAAGTTCTGGGCATTGCGGGCACGTTTGAGGGCATTTATCCATTGGGTCAAACCAGGTTCCCAAATGCTCTCAATGTCAGGTCTGGGGCACCGAGGAGGGTGAGCAGAAGTGCTGGTTCCGGACTGCAAATGGGTTCAGATGCGTGGCGGTTACGACTTGGCCCTGGAAACTCTTTTGAGGGTTTAAGGTTTTGGGCTCAGGGTTTTAGGGTTCAGGGCATTGCAGAGACGCAGCTATTGACTGCAACCCAGAGCTTAGGTTGTGAGAAACAAATTATATTATGGTCGTATATGACCCCTAGCCTTAAGCCTATGACAGCCTGTTACTGGGTGTCGGCAGTAGCCAACCCCCATGGGAATCCTACATGATACGTACAGTAGTTTCCTCTTTTCCATTCCCGGATATACCCCCAGGCAATCCCTACTCCTAAGGCCTCAATTTGAAATAATCCCGAATATACAGCCTAATTTGACAAAGTCCCTAAAACCCTAGTTTGAAATATCCCTACTGAAGCCTTACTTTGGAACAGCCCCTACTAAGGCCCTAATTTGGAATAGTCCCTGACGAGGCCCTAAACCCAGCCGCTGAGCTATCTACCCACAAACCTTATGGCATCCCCATATACCCTCTACACTACACCCTGAACCGGGGTGCCACACCCCACTTGAATTGGCCTAGTATACTGTATTATATTAGAATATACAAGTCATATATATATATATATATACATTAATGTGCTCGGTTGAGCGGTGCCCAAAACCTTACTCTTATTTCATTTCGGAAACAAAGCTGCTTACGGTAGCTTACGTTTTCCAAGCTTTTGCTTACGACATGACCTGTTGTTGTTTCTGCTTACGCGGCTTATGCCGGCTTGCTGCCGCTGCTGCAGCTGCAAGGACTAACAACACCAACAAAAACAACAGCTTACCACGCTTACGGCAACAGCGTTGACACAGAACTGCTTACGACGCCTTACGAAGCACAACGCTTTGCTGACGCCAAACCTTGTTTCTGAAAACCCCTGTCTTTTCTAAATAAGGAGGGTTTTGATCTCTCTGCTCAGTTCAGAGTTTATACAGTTTAAGGTTTAGAGGGGTTAGGAGTTAAATATACAGTATAGGGTGTATAGGGTGTGTAGGAATTCGCCCTATAGTCCCCCTTAAGTATATAGAATATGGCTTTGGGTATGTTATAATAAGATCCCCACATTATACCCCATATTCTATCTACTTAAGGGGGACTATAACCCTAAACCCTAAATAGTAGTTTCCATTTTCTTTTCCATTATCCCTATATAACCCTATATTACCCTTTATTACCCCATATTCTATCTACTTAAGGGGGACTAAACCCGAATCCCTAAAGCCTAAACCCTAATCCCTAATCCCAAATCCCTCAACCCTAAACCCTAAACTACTTAAGGGGGACTATATACTGACTGCCACAGGACTGGTGATGCCGGCAGAGAAGCCGGAGAGGGCTGGGTCTCAGGTTCCAAGGCCCACGTGTAGACGTGGCTTTACATAAGCTGGGGGATCCCGAAATAGGCCTTTATATGATATATATATATATACCTATATACAAAAAATATATAGGTTTATATGTATATATATATTACTGCGTATAATCCTTAAGATAGGGAACCCACCCAAAAAGCGGCCCTTGATTTTTGAAAAAGTCCAATATGAACGCGCTGCTTGGATGTAGATATTTGCAGGCTCAACCTTGAAGCCCGGGTGTGCGAGTAGAAGGAAACGGAGAAGCACAGATAGAAGTGCTCTTAATTCATTGAGTTAAGTTAGGGCAAGTTAGGGTTAAGTAAGGCCAAATAGATGGGGAACCTGCACTTCAGTTCAGGATCGCTGAGCAGCATTCTTGACTGTGACAGGCCTGCGCACCTCCAGGAACAACAGCCGGAACCTCAGAAGGGAGTGCTTGCCCTTCTCACATACCCTTGCATGCAGAGGTTGCCGGGTTACTGCAGGAAATTGCACAGCTAAAGCGCATTTCAAAGGAAACCCTGAGATCATGTAGCAGGATCCTAGTCAGCGAGGTTGCGTTGGATTTTGTTTCTTCGTGTCAGGTTCTGCCCCTCGGCAACTCCGAATGCTGGGCAGAGGGCTTTGGCTATGAGAATTGCCCCAAACTCAGAGCATGGTGGCCGTGCACTAAGATCAGACAAGGTAGTGGTCATCAAACCCTACACCCTAAACCCTCGGTAGTGGTCACTTTAGCAACTTCTAATTCTCATTCTTGCCACATGATCCATGGTCACCTCAGCTGCAAAAGCACTGATCTGCGAAGGCTGTGAAGCCAAGTTCGGCCCCAACGGCAATGCGCAGTGCTGGGTGCGCCAAAGAGTTTGCGTAGTGGATGCATCCCCTACCCGAACCTAAATCCTGAATCCTAAATGATGCAGCAGCTTCCATTTTCGTTTCCATTCCCCGATATACCTCTAGAGAATCCCAATGTACCCCTAATATATTATAGGTACTTTCCATCTTATTTCCACTCCCCTTTGATATTATCCAATGTCGTCTCTGTGAATCCCTGTATACCCTACCCCTTTATATTATCCTATGTAGTGTCTATGAATCCCTGTATACCCTAAACCCTAAACCCTAATCACACATTTGCAGCGCAGATTGCTGTGACAGTTGGCAGGATGGTGTCTACAATTATGATCGCTGCTGCTTCCCAAAAGAGGAACTCTGAGACTGCTGACATACGGTTAAGGTTTGAGGTTTAGGGTTCAG